TTTTTTCTATTTTTGTATTAAAATCGAATAACTAACCTATTTCATCTGGCAGCATTGTTTAAAAATGAACATAACGGAAGTCAGTATTATTTTTATTAAATATTTAATTTCTTTTGCCATGATAAAACTGCTTAATATTTCATTATTAACTACAAAAAAAACTGTAAAAAATATTGATAAATATTTCACTTGTGTAACGTTAGGCCCAAATTCGCCCGTCTCCTTTATTTAAAAATATAACTCCATAGGCCAATTGGATAATATTAAAAAAAAACAACAAAGTTCTACTTATTTTTCTGCAATGCTTCCCGCGCTTTTCATTTAAAACGATGGATCTTAACGGTGAACATTTGCGCGCTATGATCTATTGAAATTTTAAATTTGGTTTAACCGAACAATTAAGTTTACAACGGCTACAATCAGCATTAGTGGACTCGCTCCATCACGCGCAACAATTTTCAGGTGGTTTGCTGAATTCAAAAGGGGTAAAATTATCCTTAAAGATGACCAAAAAACTGGGGCCCCGCAAACAGCAGTAACGGCAGAAAATGTATGGACTACTGAAATGTTGGTGCAAGAAGGCCCACAAATCACATATACGGACATCGAATACGGGGAGCATTCATATCATCCTACATCAACATCTTTGAGAGAGGAAGCTTTGTTGTCGATGGATCCCTCGTTTGCTCTCGAAAGCTAAAAACAGACTCGTGTGGATTGGTGCCATGAAATGCGTCTACGGGGCATCTAGGCGTGTTTCAGAAATCTTTACTGGTGATGAGACATGAGTCCATCAATATAATCCGGAAAATAAATGGTAATCATCGGTATGGCTTAGGGTAGACTCGGCTCCTCGCCGTGGTAGCGGCGTTAAATATACCATCCCATTCGCACCATGAGGAATCAAATTAAAGAAATGGCCCCGAGTTCCCGGCGCCCCTTTAATGGAGCAGGGGTGCGAAGAATCTCCGGGAGGAAAACCGGCGACGAGGCTCGCCACCCGTCACGTTCTGTCTCCCGGAGGGGCGAAAAGTGGATTGCAGAGGCCCGTCTGGCTACGTTGAATGTATGTGGAGCAATGAATGATAAAATGGATGAAGTATGCGAGGTGATGTATGATAGAGGAATAGATTTGTTATGTGTAAATGAGACGAAACGGAAGGGGAAGGATGTCACTACACATGGCATGTATACCGCATACTGGTCTGGTGTAGACGAGCTCGAGCGGGCATGCCAGGGAGTAGGTATCATCCTATCAGAAAGAATGGTGCAATGTGTGAAAGAGTATGAATGTGTAAGCCCAAGACTGCTATGGATACGATTGAAAGTGGGCTTAAAGAAGTTGTTTGTGCTAGGGGTCTACGCCCCAGACATGTCTAAGCCCACTCATATCCGAGAGCAGTTTTGGGAAATGGTAAGGATGGTATTAATGAAATGTAAGGGAAATGAAAATGTTGTTATGCTAGGAGATTTTAATGGAAGAGTTGGGGTGAGGAGGCTTGGTTATGAAAGGATATTGGGAACGTTTGGTGATGAAAGTATAAATGAGAATGGTGAAAGCCTCCTCACTGTATGTATGGAAAAGAATCTTTTTGTGACGAACACTTTCTTTCGCCACAAGAGGATTCACATGTATACTTGGGAAAGAGGTGATGATAGAAGCATGATAGATTTCATAATTGTGGATGAAAGATTGAGGGGCGCAGTGGTGGATACAAGGGGTTTACCGGGGGTCAAACGTAGGAACGGATCATTTTTTAGTTTTATGCCGAATTAATGGCCTATTCAGGCGGTGGCGCCATCGGTCATCTGTGTCTACCACTGCGTTACAGCGTATTAGAACAGAAAGATTACAAGATGAAGGTGAGAAAAACAAGTTTAAATGTAGACTGAAAGAAAACGTAAGTGGTTTGGATGAATTATGTATGAATGAGTTAGACTTATTATATACTTGAGAATGTATGGCAAAATGTTAAGAAAGGTTTAGTAGATGCAGCTACCGAAGTATGTGGTGTTAGTAAAAGAAAGAATGAAAGGAAAAATAATACTTTGTGGTGGGATGATGAGACACGTACGGAAGTTGAAGCAAAGAAGAGAGCATGGCTAGATTTACTAGCAACTAAGGCTGCTAATTCTAGCGGTACGAATGATGATTTTGAAAGAAAAAAGGCAGTCTTTAGACATCTAAATAAAAGAGTAAAAGAAATAGTTGAAAGGAAAAAGCAAGAAAGAACGGATAAGAATGATAGAAGAATATCGGATAACTTCCAGGCAAATATTAAAATGTTCTGGAAACTCGTAAGAACTGCCAGGGGACGTTCAAAACAGCCTATAATGAATGCTATAAGAGATGAGAATGGCTATATTCTGAATGATGAAGTTTTGAGTTTAAAGAGATGGAAGGAATATTTTGAAAGCATGTTTATGAGTGAGGAGACAACGTATGAACTGAATGAAATAGGAACTCCGAAAGAAGAGAAAGGAGGTAGCGAGATAAGTATAGATGAAATAATGAAAGCAATGAAAAGCATGAAAGCAGGTAAGGCTGCCGGTTATGATAGAGTTTCACTCGAAATGCTAAGGGCTGGAGAGGAAGTGGTGGCAGGCCTGCTGCACACCTTGTTTAATGTATGCTGGGAACTGAAGCGGGTACCGGGAGACTGGTGCAAAGCCGTGATAGTCCCAGTATATAAGGGAAAAGGGTCGCAGCAGGACTGTAAAAACTAGCGCGGTATCAGCCTTCTTAGCATCGTGGGGAAATTGTATGCCAAGGTACTAATTGAAAGGGTCATGAAAGAAACCGATGGAAAAATTTGCGATGTGCAAGCGGGATTTAGAAAGGGAATGGGATGTACAGATTAAGTCTTCTCCATGCGCATGATCGCGGAGAAGATTATTGGCCAAAAACCAAAAGGTTTTTTGTGCGTTCATGGACTTGGAGAAGGCCTATGGCAGAGTGGATAGGAATGTGCTATGGCAAACACTGAACTCATTTGGGTTGAGCGCTGGCTTGATACAGGCATTGGAATCTCTTTATAGGGACTCTAGTACTTGTGTTAGGATCAACGGGGTCTACTCCGACTGATTTGGCATCCATAAATGTGTCAGACAGGGCTGTGGGCTTCCCCGTGGTTGTTCAACCTATTTATGGACAGTTGTTTGCAAAATTTGAAAGTTGAAGAATGCGGATTAAGAATGGGTGAGTTAACCATCAAATGCCTTTTGTACGGCGCTGATCAAGTTATTCTTGCGTCGTCGGCGGCTGAGTTGCAAATGATGGTTACATTAATGAACAGATCATTAAAAGAAAGGGGTATGAAAGTAAACGCAAGTAAGACGAAAATTATGGTTTTTGAAAGAGATGAAAGTAAAACGATATGTGAAATAAGAATAGAAGGGGAGTTGATCGAGCAAGTAGATGAGTTTGTATATTTGGGTTGCGTATTTAGCAGGGATGGGAGATATGATAAGAATATAGAACGACGAGTGAACGCAGGAAACGGGGCCCTGCACTCTATTGTGAAGAGTCAAAATGTGTCAAAAAAGGCACGTATGGCAATATCACAATGCTGTGTTGGTCCCTACTTTAACGTATGGTAGTGAAAGTTGGGTGTGGCAGAAGAAGCACGAGAGTAGAATAAATGCAGTAGAAATGCGGTCGTTAAGGAGTATGTTAGGGCTGAATCTGAATGACAGAGTGAAGAATTGTGTAATAAGAGAAGAGTGTGGTTTGCAAGATGATGTTGTGACCAGGATTAAGAAAGGAATGCTTCGGTGGTTTGGTCATGTGGAAAGAATGGATGAGGAAAGAGTGACAAAGAAAATTTATCTTGCAGAAGTGAATGGCAGAGTCGGAAAGGGACGTCCTAGGCGAAAATTTATCGACAAAATTGGCGATTTATTGAAAACGGACCAAATTAGGAGTACCCTTAACAAGGAGGCGAGAGAGGTGTGTCAGGATCGTGCCAAATGGAAGTCTGTAGTCTCTGCCTACCCTTCTGGGTGACAGGCGTGAGTGTTTATGTAATCATCGGTATGGGTCTACTCAGAAGGACAGTTACCGACAAAACTGCAAAGACCATGCAACGTCGGCAAAAACTAGTTTTTTGTCAATGCTGGAAAATTATAGGTCAGTCAACTCTGAATGGTATACTACAGTTGCATTACTCAAAGATTTTCAAGCTGTGCGGGAGAGAAGACCACAGTTCGGGCTTTGGGGAATCATGCTGCATCACGATAACGCCTCTTCACTTACCTCCCTTAGAACTAAATCATTTATTGAGGAATCTGGTAGTCGTAATTTCTTTTTGTTAACAAGAGTCAAAGAAAAAATAAAAGGCAAGTTTTTTTCAAGCGCCGGTATAAGCCGTGGCTACCTACTTAGAAGCTATTTCCGATCTGTCAGATCAAGATAGCAAAATTGTTTTCAGAGTTGGTTTACGCGAATGGAACTTTGTATAGAGCATGATGGAGAATATTTTGAAAAGATGTAAAATAAATAATATACATATATATATATATATATATATATATATATATATATATATATATATATATATGTAATAGTGTCTAAAATACTTTTTGTATATCTCAAAACTTATTAAGTGTCCAACGTAATTCGTTTGCCCGTGAAACTCCTCCTAGACGGCTGGACCAATTTAGATTAAAATTTTTCATGTGTGATTAAATTGATTTGAGAATGTTTTAGATTCATAATTGTGCCCTGTAGGTAGCACCGTTGTTAAGATCCAGAAGTCATCCGTGCAACACTGGGAAGGTTTTTAAAAAAAAAAAGTTTAATGAGGCAAATTTTTCGTGAAGATCTCTATCTTAAAAAGGACATCCATAATTATGATTATTATATACAAGTATAATTAAGAAACCCGAATTTCTTTTAATAACTTCCATAGAATATTTAGGAAGATACATTTATGTTCCTAAATTTACAACGATTTAGGATCTACGAGTGTGTTGTGTCAATAAAAATAACAATACTAAAATTAGACTTCAAATAGATTCACAGAATTAATTAAACGACTAACTGATGTATAAATCTCATTCTCTTGTTTTAACCCTTCCTTTCCTCTATAATACGGGAATTCGTTGAAAGTTGGCAGGTAATATATCCCTGGTCTATTAAATTTAGTTTCCAAACCAAGGTAATTTGTTTCGGAGTTGTTGAAACATTTCGCGAATCTTGCATCTTGAATCGAATCGCATTTAATGCCAATAAACTTCTTTGGGTGCTCGATCGCCTGCCACCAGTAAAGGCCGGATCTGAGGTGACTGCACAATACAAGGCAAGGGATGGCAGGTATGTCACTCGGCTGGTACTCTCCTCCATTGACATAAAAGTCTACGTGTCCTAGCTTCTCTGCCAAGCCAAATCCATCTATATTAGTATGAACTATATCTACTCTGTCCGCATCTGAAGCTTGAAGTTTTGAGCTCGGTGGTAGACTACGGTAGCATGGGCCAGCAGGATCCAGACCAGTAATCCTTGATGGTTTCTTTCCCGTCGCAGCGTATAAGTATTTAGCTGCATACCCCCCTATATGAGCTCCTAAACTAATACCGACGATTTCTAAATTTTCAGTTTTTAGCCCTTGTTCGGTAAGTTTCGTTAAGAGTTCGCCTATCTTGTCTCCGAGCACTTTAGTCAATCTGACGGACCTGTAAAACAAACGGTTTTTAATGAGCAAAATAATTACAAGCGCAACACACTATAATTAAACTGTAAAACCGTAAATCTTAACCACAAAACTAAAAATAGTAACTAAGACATTGTATCGAATATTAAATTTATGTTTAATTATTTGACACTTTCGAGTAGACTAAGCAACATCACTCAAGCTTAAGGTTATAACTGAAGCGTTGTTTAAATCTTCACCACCATCATTACAGGCCTTTACAAGTCCACTGCTCAACATAGGCCTCCCACAAGGAATGACGCAAACACGGTCCTGAGCCACCGGCATCTTACCAGGTCGTCACTCGCCCTATACTATGCCTACCGATACTAGGCCACCACTAGAGAACATTTTTCCCCATCGGTTGTCAGCTGTTCTTCGAGCTATATGCTATATACCTTGGGAGAGACCTATGTTCAGCAGTGGACTTGTGAAGGGCTGTAATGATGATGATAATGATGATGACGCATGAACCCACTCAATTTAAAAATATAAATAATGTCAGAGTTTCGGTCATGGCGGCCAGTCTCAACGGATCCTAGCCATTGCGCGGTGCGGGATTATAGTGCCCGAGTGTAGGCGCAAGCACAGGTGCACTTTTATTTACCCCACTGTCATAGTCCGATGGCATGATTATCGGACACGACCGGAGAGAGATAAAATTCAGGATGATATGTTTTACGTGCTTTCTGAGGCACGGGTGTAAATTATCGCCAAACTTGCCGATGTCGAACTTTTACTGAGAACTTTTTTACAGAAAATCTCTAAGAACTGATTTTTGTCCCGACCTGGAATTAAAACCCAGGATCTCACGATTAGCAATCGCGTTTACGATTAGTTGACCAATGAGGCAGTCAAAAAAGTACTAAATATAATAATAATTTAAAAATCATTTGAAATAAGAATCTCTACCTTTTTCGAAGTCTGCTAGAAAAATAGTTACAATTACGATATAACACATTACGTATTTGTGTTGCAACTTTTCTACACCTTTGTGTTATGGCACGTTCCCATTTACCGGATGTAGGATTCGATTTTAATAGGGACTTTCAACATCCTACATCCATTTCTATGATTAGAATCACTTGTTCACTCTGGGTGTTCAAAACATTGGATGTCGTATATGATTGAAGCTGAGTCAATTACATAATATTCAACTACCAAGGAAATCAAATGTTTGCGCCCGAAATCAACGATTGAATATATAAACATTTCAAACCTTAATAACTGAATTAACAATAACCAAACATAAGTTGGAGATATATGGCCAAACATAATATTCCTTATCATCCAATAACAATTTCAAATATACCTTTGAAGCAAATGTCATCTCGAAAAAAAAATTAAATAGATATTGACCAAAATAAAAACTCTACAGCATAATCATTCATATATTTGATCTTTGTAAGTGAAATGCTAAGTATTTTTTCAATAAAACTGAACTAACACACGAACTCACAATCCACCTGACAGCAAGTGACTACTGAAGTCCACGGACTCCTGCAGACAACTTCACACGAAGAAGACTACAAAGATCACCTCTTAGAACTAAGATGAAGTATCTCACAGCCTCACTAATGGTACTCTTTGTAGTGCAGTGACTATTTATATCCTTTAGACTGGAGCACATCTGTGTAAGCGCTGCTATTTTGCGGCAGACACAGGTTAGGGCGTTGTACTACCAAGGCAAAAAAGGAGTTACACTGTCTAGTGATGAGCCCTAGCGCCTATCATGGAGTCCTGTTGCCTAGTAAAGTGAACTAATAATATTGAAGGACAAAAGAAGTTCTGTTTTATCGAATCAGTCAGTTCTATTTCTATCTACAAGTTATTTGAATATATATTACGAAAATTAAAGAAACACATAAAGTTACAATAAGTTTTTGAAAACGAAATAAAACGGTAGAAGGTATATGTAAATTGTAATTATTTTTCAACGTTATCGCTTTTTAACCTAATACACCTTGATAGCGTTTTGCAAATTGGTTAATTTCCTTGGTAAAGAAGGCTTGATCATGGGCTGTAATGATGATGATGATGATGAACTTTAATTTTGTGTGACTCTTCATTTTTTCTGAAAAACTGAACTCATTTTATAACGCATTTTATAGAGTTAAAAATTTAACTTACTTTGGATAAATATACGTGAGAAACTGAAACAGTTCTACCATTATAACATTGTATCCACGTTTGCAGTAGGCAGTACCTAACGCGCGGCTGAAGGGAAAGGAAGCACTGTCGAGGAAACCGCCACAGTAAAGTACGGTCTTCTTATTTTTTAAATCTAGAAAAAGGAAATAAGAATGTAATTAATCCTTTATTCTCATCAGCGTTTAAGCAGTTTGATATGATACGGAGGATTCCCCGTCATCGTAACTCTTAGCGTACGCAGTACTAATCATCCAGCACCGTCGTTTATCTGAGTAATATGGCATACCTTCCCTTCTTTCTATGTCAGATCAACCGTGGATGGGATACTCACACTGAAATTGCAGCTAAATACAGTTGTATTTTGGAAGGTTATTCTACGATAGTCATCAAAGTGATACGCACCTATATTGTGATTATTAATTAAGTATAGAGTTCATAGCCCACTACATGCTCCTGCCATCAGGTGGAGTGAAATCGTGTGTCATGCTTATTCTATAAAAAAGTATTCGTCTCTTACGACAACCGAGGGAAGACTTACACTCCCTAAGTTTAAGAGGCATTTGCTGTCTCCATACTTGACATGCGTCAGGCATGGTCTTACACCTTTCACGCTGCTCTCATATTTAATTGTGGGTATTAAAAATTTGTATATTAATCATATTTTACGGAATGATTTTACCACCATTTATCTGAATTCATTAGAAATTATTCCAGATCTTTTCAAACCCGTTACCGTAACAGCTTATTACGTTTACTAATAGGCCTTAACTATTGATTGTCTCATGGGGAGAGGGGAATCACCATGCTTGGCAGGTGGGTGTACATCCGCATTCTTTTAGATACTATTACAGAGATGCTGCCCATCTCCTAGTTTGTTACCATCTGAAACCTCTTACGACACCCACGGGACAATATGGAGTAGTGATTATTCTTACACCAACCCTACACGTTTTTTTTTTCTACATATACCAATATACTATAAAGTTTTTTTTATTCCAAACTAATTATGCTAAACAAATTGAACCTACCATGCAATGACATACCTTGTTTCACCGGGTCATAACTAGTTGTACTTGAACCCGGTTTTTTTCCGATAACATTATCAGAGTATCTACTTATGATAACACATCAACAGAATCTACGGATATTTTATATTTCATCAAATAACATCTATGAAGAATTTTCTGGTATAGTAAATGGAAGAATGATATATAATAATATATAATATATAATGATATATAAGGTCTTTAATAAAAAAAATCGTGATTATTTTTGTTTTAAATAAAAATGTTATTTTTTTAATCGGCGTAGAGAATTAATATGTTGAAAATACTTCAGTTGTTCTTACAAAACTATTAATTTTAATTAAAATTAAAAAAATCTTATTTTATAAGATTTTTCTAATTATTAACAATCAGTGTTGCCACCTCTTACATTAATTACACATCGAAATCGATTGTTTATACTTAAAACTAAATTATCAATGTCGTGCTGCCGGATGAAGTCCCATGTTCTTTGCAATTGCTCGTAAAGTTGTTTAAATCCCTTAGGTCAGGTGACTGTGTAGGAAATCCAAAACTTGAATATCGTGGTCTCAGCGAGCAGCCGCCACCAGCCGCGCCGTATGGGAAGGAGCATCTTCGTGCATGAGTAGTAATTCCTGGCCCATTTGGATTCTGTGTGGGACAATAACATGCTCTACTACCTACTCGATATATTTTGTGCTGTCTGCATGACATGCCCTGCGTCCAAACGAGATAGGTTCGAATTCCTGCCCACACCATAATTGTCCCGCCTTGGTATAAGTGAACCTCCCGAGGGTCCCGTAGACAGCCACGATACACGATAAACGCGCGTTTATCGTGAATTTGGTTGAAACCCAAACCGGGACTCATCGGTGAACAGCACCAAAAACCATTGTTCGTCACTTCTTGATAAATGCTCCCAAGCCCACGAAAGCCGACGATCGCAATTGCCACGTCGCACTGCTGGAACACGTAACGGTCTTCGAGCATGAGGACCAACTTCATATAACCTTCTTCGCACAGTTTGGTTGCTCACCAGCCTTTGTAGTAGTTGCATCGCTGTGATATTGGGTTGTCTTCTTGCGGTCATTTGGAGAAAATGATCCTGTCTCTGCGTAGTAACACAATATCTACACAAATCCTAATCAGTCACTGACCCAGTACTGCGATAACGTGACCACAACCTTGATATCACGTTTTCGCTGGTGTGTAGGGTCTCCGCAAAGTCGCGTTTAATGGCACCATTTTCTAACATGACAATGTGACATGATTCTGAAAGCTCATACGGCACGTTAATTTAAAAAAGAAAAACCAATTCCTTTGCATTTCCATCAGTAGAACAATTTTAACTTTCCTTGACGTAACAAATTAGTAACATTTTTGCCACCGTATTTTTTCTTTTGTTTTTTTATTAGCATTTAACTATTATAAACTTTTTGTAGAAACTTAAAAGATTTTATATTATAAAGTCGTAAATAATTTAGGATTAAGGTATCCCTAGGTTCTGTTGATGTGTTCATATCAATAGCATTAAAAATCAATTATATACTAGCAAAATGTCCAGGTTTCGCTCGGGTAATTCTTAGATCTCAACAACAATCCGCCTACCGGTTCTAATTGCGAATCTAAGCCATCCAGGATTCAACTCAAAAATACACAAAAAAATTTCATCAAAATCTGTCCAGCAAAAGAATTCAGTGACGAACACACGTACAAAAGAAATACATTTATAAAGAGTTCTATCAACCAATTTCGTCCAGTAGGTACATGTCGTAAGAGACGGTTATAGGTAATGCCAAAAAAATCTTACGAGTTCCTATGACTGGCGGTGTGACCACTCTTTTACACCGAACGCAAAATATCGAAACTGACGACAAGAAACAGCAAACTTGCAAGACATCTGGTACTGCGCTTGTCAATTAGTCTGCCAATCTTTGTGGCAAATCTTCTTTACAAAGGCAGAAGAGGACGAAGCCCAGCAGTGAGCTTATAATAATGAAGAAGAAGTAGCATCAAAATATATACAAGTAATTTTTTAATATTTAAAAAAAAATTATGTACCACGTAGTATATCGTATTCTTGAATTATCATTCCAATTTGAGTTATATTCAAAATTTCAAGCTTCCAGTTCATCGGGAAGTTGGTTTGAAATCCATTACTAAATTTTACCAGCAAATACAGACGGACAGATAGGCAGATAAACAAGAAAGTGACCTAATAAAACGTGGTAAACCACTATCGTGTTGTTCTCTTGTTATGTCTAATTGTTTCTTCTACCTTTTAGATAATTGGCGTGTATTAGAAGAAAATATTTACAATTCTTACCTAGTAACTCTTCTTTAGCCAATGATTTTGGCGCTGAAGCTATGGGATAGCTTCTCCTGTGAATTTTCCCATTTACCAATTTGTGGATAATAATTCGGAACATTTGCATCTTCTTCGAGCTTATTGTAGCATTTTTTCAAGACGCCTGGACCTGTAAAATATTTTATCCATCAAATCCAGAAATTCATAAAATCTTGATTAACTAATGAAACATCTTTATTTTGGGGTATCTATATAGGTTTCTCATCTGGTTGGGTTCTATAACATTCGCAGAAAGGACTACAGGTATAATTTCAGTCGACAGACCCCACGTGTCGGTCACCTCGTGAGCCAAGTACAGATATTATGTTTTCTTATCTGATTTGGTTTTCATTGGGTGCTGGTCAAAATATTTTTTACTGTGCCCGATCCATCAGCACAATATCAGGCTTATTCGCAAGAATAGTCCTGTCTGTGATGATGGCCCGGTCCCAGTAGAGCCTAGTGCGGTCATTTTCGAGCACGGCTTCGGGCAAGTTTTCTTTTATATGTTTTTTTTATATATATTTGAAACATCTATCTAACGCCATACCTTATAATGGAATAAACGGGTAAAACAAAAACAACCCCTGCCCTGTTCTATATGTGGGGTACCCAAAATAAAAAATGTTTTCAAGATTTTTGTCATGATTAATGTCTGTGAATTGTGCCAAATTACAGGAATGTGGCAGCTAGGGTCTTTGAGTAAAATCGCGGACGGATGGACGGACATGGCGAAACTGTAAGGGTTCCTTGTTAATTACCTACATTTATAGAATAAAAGTGATAAACGAACACACAGTCCATCTGGTGGTAAGTGGATGCTATGGCCCATAGACATCTACATTTATCCTCGTGTAAATGAGCATAGGTAAGTCTATGTCCTCAGAGTTAACAACCCTTCCCTTTCAACATGGATAACCACACACTTATTCGTCCCTAACTCCATGCACCTGAACCACCAGATTCTCGGCTGGCGCATTCAAATCAAACAGTTTGCCTCGTTGTTCGTAATACGTACAGCACGGACTAGAATAATTTGCCAGCATCTGCCTTTCCATACGATTACAATGTGTGTTTAAGACAAGAGTGAATAGGATTTTGTTAAACTCAGTAAGTGCGCTTTACCATCTTCGGCTGCATCTCCACTTACCATCAGGTGGGATAGCCGTCAAGCGCTGACTTATAGTACTAAAAAAGTATTTGTAGGGCGGAGCAATGTCCCATTCATCTATCGATAGCCCATCGACAAAATATTGACGAAACCACACTATTAACAGATTAAGTAATTAATAAGTTAATTTGTTAGTATTTATCCTATTTAAGAATTTTGTTGTAACTACCAGGGCGTCATAATCGCTTCAGCGATAAAGCCCTTTTTCTAAGAACAAAAAAAAGAATGTGTACATTTTTCTGTTCTCTTTTTTTTTAATGAATAAGATGATAAATGAACACACAGTTCAGCTGATGGTAAATAAATGCTTTGGCCCATATACACCTATATCCATAAATCAAATTTATAAATTAAATTATGAATCAAAATGTAGATGCTTTGTCACTTCTGAGGTTTGCGATAGAATACCTCGTATCCAGTAAAAAGATTCTCTGATTCTCTACACTCACAATACCACTGTTTTTTCTTGATATTACTATTGACGCAAAGCTTCAGTGGGGCCCCATATATCTAAATTAGCAGGCAGACTTAGTTCTGCGGCATATGCTGTAAGAAAGATTAGAAGTCTAACCAATGTTGAGACAGCTAGATTAGTTTATTTTACTTACTTTTATGGCGTAATGTCTTATGGAATATTACTATCGGGTAATGCGACTGACATTGAAGTCATATTTGTTTTGCAAAAGAGAGCTGTACGGGCGGCTTACAACTTAAATTGTAAAGAGTCCCTTAGAGAAAATTTTAAGGAAATAAACACATTAACTTTGGCATCGCAAGATATTTATGAAAATGTAATGTATGTTCACAAAAACATAAATAGCTTCCATAAGAATAAAAACGTTTATACTTTAAACACTAGGAACAAACATAAGCTCGTAATATCAGTAACTAAACTCCACAGAATTAGTAATTCAAATCTCAGAAAATTTACAAAATTTGTCACTTAACAAGTTTAAATATTTTATTAAAGAAAAATTGTACAAAAAGGGTTATTATAATATAAATTAATAAATTAATGAAAATAACCCCTGAGAATGAGGAGATCGCCACCGTGCTGGGTCTATAAAAATTCATACAAAAATTGTAACAAAATATATTTATTGTAAATCCAAATATGTTTAAAAAAAGTCCGCTTAGTTTCTTGCTGGTTCTTCCCAGGACGGAGTTTTTCTTGCGAACTAGTAGTAAAATAAAAAACTGACTTTTAATAACTATTATACAATAACCAATATTGAATAAAAATCATTCATTTGATTTCATACGAAACACAGCAACATTAAGCCGCTATCTTACGCTGGTATTCTGTGAGAGCGAGGTCCTACCCCGGTCGAGCCAACCCATTCGTGTTACAACCATAATATATGTACAGCGTGGCTCTACCGTGAAAATATTATATAAAATGTATATAAACGAATCAAAATTAGTATTAATAAAGATCGCACTAGTTCTGGTACTGCAATTTTTAACAAATACAAAGTAAAGCAATTTTAATTAAGTTATAAATTATTGTAAATTAAATATGTTTTAATTTAAATAAAAAAGACTCAAATTAATTTAAATTATCGTAAATATCAAATAGTGGAAAATTTATATCCCGATCTCATAAGCGATGAGGATAAAAGACAAACCGGTAAATTTTATAGTGAATAAATTAAAATATCTTAAAGTGAAACAACTACGTGTCAACATAAATCACAAATTAAAATAATTCTTCATTCATTTTTTTCAATTTCCAGTCCTGAGCTTGCTTCGACGTGTTTACTGTCTAATAGTTCATCATTACTTAGGGGCAAATGTTAACTTTATAGTTTTTAATGATTTCTAATATTTACGTTAAAACTACACATTTAAATAAACTAGTATTACGGATTATATCACATATATTAACTTATATTAACTCTATTTTTAGTCCCCTCTATGACCGTGGGTGCTGTAAAGAACTCGAAACGTCAGGAATATAAAATAAGTTGGTATGTATTTAGGTGATAAAATCCTTAAAAACTAGTTTTATTACGAAGCTGCCACTCGAACGTTTTTCCCCATAGGTTGTCGGTTCCTTGGTAATAAGCAACATTTTTATTCATTATATCCTGAAAAAATCTATTATTTTTTAACAAAATCAAAAATGTCAATTGAGCAGCAGCTGAAATTTACCTCAAAATTTACAAAAGCTAAATACTGAAATATTGATTCGAATAATTGTTCATTATTATTGTCTCACATTTTTTATCACTGATCTGAACTTTTTAGACACTTAACAACAATAAATACATTTATTAATATAGTTTAATGATCATCATCATCATTACAAAAGTCCACTGCTGAACATAGGCCTCCCCCCAGAAACGCTACAAAGCATGATCCAGAGCCACCTGCATCCATCGACTTACTGCATGCCTTATAGTCACCAGGTACGTACCAGGTCCTCATTCCATCTAGTGGGGGGTCGCCCTACACTACGTCTACCGGTACGAGGCTGCCACTCGAGAACCTTTTTGCCCCATAGGTTGTCCACTTCAGCTTATTAGTAAGCCGTAACCATGTAAACGTGACAGTGGTAACGGCGGGGCAGAGAGTGCTAAGAATCTCCGGTGGAGGTTCCGTTGCCACCTAAAATGACTTGACCTGGCAACATATAACGCACGCACCCTGAGGACTGACAAAAAGATCCTGGAGCTGGAAGAAGAGATAGTGAAGTTGCGCTAGAATATTATATGATTATCGGAGTCTCGTTAACAACGTTGTAAAGATTTTTTTTTTTGTTTTAAAGAACGTTACCCTCACACTAGGATTTTCTCCTGTATCGTGGGGACAATTTACATACATAAATCACACATAAGGACAAACATCCAGACCCGGAACAATTATTTGTAGGCCATACAAATACTATCTTGTTCCGTGCGGGATTCGAACCCACAGCCCTCAGCGCTATAACTCGTTGCCAAGCTACTGCGCCACGGAGCCGTCGATTGGGAGTGTGTCGACGAGGGTTGCGTACCTTATACTCAGAATCACCAAACGGTATTCACTGTAGGTCATACAGATTTAGGCACCAACCTCGGCTCATCCCAATGAGGAGGTGGAGGAAGTATACGAGGTTATCTCCAAAGTCACGCATTCCTCCACACCCCACTATTCGGTGTTAAAGAGAGACTTCAATGCAAAACTAGGCACAAAAGAGAACGGCAAGCTGAAAGTAGGGAAACTCGAAATAGGGCAATGGAACCCAAGGGGCCAGCAGCTGGCCGACTTCATGGAGAAAAAGGGACTCTTTATGATGAATTCTATCTTCCAAAAGCGGCCCCACAGGAAGTGGATCTGGTCGAATCCTGACAATTCGACAAAAAATTAGATTGACTTCATTATGACGACTAGAACGCAACTATTCAGTGATGTCTCGTAGACTTGTTTCAACCATGAATGATACGTTCGTTTGAGCTGGTACACTTAAAAGTATTGAAGATTCATTCATCTTTCTTTTAATGTTCCGGTAAAACCAATCACAAACAATTGACAGAAGAAACAGGATTATTGTTACAAAAATTAAAAATTATTTTACATTTTAATATATTTATTTGTTACATCTATGATTTAATAAGATCGTTTCGTGGGGTTTACCAAAAAATAACACTTTTATAATTTGTAACAGACAATCCTTATTTTTTGAGATGAAAGCCTAAATTTTAGTAACTAAATAAAGATAATATTTTCTTTCCACTAAAATTGCTTTGCTTTGTAATAAATAGCGCCAATTACTTCGTTCTATAGTTAAAGATTAAAGTCATTCTCAGTTTATCGAAGTCGAAGCAAAATTGATGAGACTCTCAAGGTGATTGGCGCACAATAGGCGCTAGATGGCCTAAACATAAAAAAATAATATCAATCACTAATATGGTATTATGTATTGTTAGAAATTAAATTTGAAAATAAAAAAAAATTAAATGAAATATATAATATTA